GTGTATATATATATATATATATATATATATATATATATATATATATATATATATATATGTATATGTATATAATCCCACTAGGCGTCCTCCAATGTTAAATTTCGTATGCAAACGGCGTCCTTTGGTCACTGGGCGTCCGTTATACGGACGCCGACTGGACTCTACCAAAAACATTTACCAATAAGCGCTAGATGGCTGTGAGATGCAGAAAAACTAAATTTTAAAAAGAGTTTAACTTGGTCGTTTAATGAATTCTGTTTATATTTTAATTCAAGGGTTTGCGTTAGAGTGTCACTACTATCGCCTTGTGTATATAACATTCTTTTCAATCTTAGGTTTACCAAGCGCCCTTAAATGAAAAGCAAATTTGACAACAGTGTCGTTAATATAAACAAGTTATAAATAGATTGAAATTCAATCATTGAATGCTATTTAGGTTTGCATTAATTCTTTTTAGAGATTTACTTTTTAAATAAGTACAAATATTTCGATCAAATTAATTAAATCGATTTAAAACTTGCAAATAATAAATTAATGCCATAAATATTGTATGAGCAATTACATTTAAAATTTTATAATTTAATATAAAATAAATGAGCATTTATTTATTTATTTTAATCAGTAGACTTTTAATACAAAAAAAATGCTATCAACAGATGGCAAACTTCACTAAATACATTTAAAAATAGATTTCATTATACTAGTCGCACATTATAATGTGTATATATATACTATTTTTTATCCTTTTCACATTATGTTAAAAAGGATAAAAATAGTATAATGTGTGACTAGTGGGAGTAAAAACAGATTCCTCGAGCGTGAAGTTAGACGCACGAGCGTAGCGAGTGCGGTAGGTACCACGAAAGTGTAATATCTACCAATAGTCGCACTCAAGATTTTATTTAACTACCGCAAGAAATATACTGCCGTATAAAGCTGATACGGCTCTTTTGCTTAACAGGAAAATATACATAGGTATCAGTCTAAAAACAAATTATGAACAATTGAAGAACCGAAAAAAGTATGGCGCAAGTAATTTAAAGCCAGTTTTATTTGATATTTTATCTGACATTGCATCTATTTTAATTTAAAGCTTACTTACTTCATCCCATGGGCAAAGTAACATTTCGCCCACAGGTTGAAGAAATAAACAATTAGGACATTAATTATTTCTCCCACCGTCAGTAGGGTCACGAAGTTACATGTTTCTTGCGGTGTTGAATAAAATAAATTTTAGTAATTTGGTTCAAACTTAAAGCTAATAAATATGTAAGTACATTAGGGTGGCCCAAAAAAAAAGAATATCTTGTAAAAATATGTTAGTTTATCATGCTGTAAGAGCCCTGTCAAAATATCAGCCTGATTAAAAAATTTTTAGGGGTCGCTCAAGATTTTTTAAAATTTTCAAAATCGTCAAAAATTGAATTTTTGTTTTATTTTCATTTTTTTTCTTGTCTCGATATTATTTTTTTGGTAGAAAATAATAAAAATTTTGAAAATATCAAATCAATATTTTAATTTCTAAAGGTCGCTAAAAGTTCGTTGGTATTTATATTCAGAGGTTGCTCGAAAGTTAAAAAAATTTTGAGCGACCTTTAGAAATCAAAATATCCATTTGAAATTTTTAGAATCATTATTATTTTTAAATTAAAAAATAATATCGGAACGAGAAAAAAAATTAAAATAAAAAAAATCCAATTTTTGACGATTTTGGAAATTTTTAATAATCTTGAGCGACCCCTAAAAAATTTTCAATGGAGCTGATCTGTTGACAGGGCTCTTAAAACATGACAAACCAACATATTTTCACAAGAGACAAGTGTATATACAGTGCTTGCAAATGCAAGTCCGACCGCACTGGAAAGGACGGCTGTTCAATACCCGCGTGAAAAGAACAAGGATAGAACGCCAAATAGAATTTGATTGGCCAGAGCCCCGGATGCGTGCGAATTATAAGCGAGGTCAACTCTGGGCCAGAGTCTCTGGCTGCATTTAGACTAAATGATTTAGCAGCGTTGCCAACCCTACGGATTTTCCGTAGATCTACGGATTTTAAGGGTCATTAACGGATAACTGGATTTTGTCTGAAAATCTACGGATATTTGGACATTATCGCATAATTCATAATTACTTGATATTTTATGTATTAAAACCTGCCACAAGTAAAAAATTGCTTGAAACCCTTTTTATATTTTCCAACTATTTCGCTCCGTCCAGTAAACGGCAGGTATAAAACCTTGCACTGAACGTTTCATGGAACGCACTCACTAGTTAAGGAATTTTATGTTTGTTACCAGCAGGTTACCAGAAAAGGTGCTGTCTTTCAAAAAGATGCTGTGAAAAAAATGGCAACTAGAGTTTTAAATTTGTTTTGGTATCTATTTACATTTAAAAGTTTTTTATACATGCATCACACTATTAGTATCTAATTACATTGTTTATAAATATATGTATTTATGAAATGTGTAAATCTTAAAAGCGCCAAGCACTACTAGAAAGCGCCACCTTGCACCAAATGTCAATGCTAAATAACTGAACAGCTGATAAATATTGAGTACCAATCAAAATTTTTAGTGAAAATTCGTAAATCTATCCAAGTTTCTAAGTCGCCGCGGTGCCTGCCACCTCTGATCCCTGGTACGGATAAATGTCCGGATTTTACCCTTCACCCACGGATTTCTACGGATATTTGACTAGAGAACTCAGGATTTTTCGAACGAAAAGGTTGGCAACGCTGTGATTTAGTGTTAAGCAAACTGCGTTGGAGTGGAGATGCACATTTTAATTTTCTTTTTAAATATTTTATACCCGAATCCTAAAAATAAAATGTTTTGATTTTTTTCCTTGAGAACTAGGGCAACAACAAAAATAGTATTCTTAATAAAAAAGATTTCTCAAATAAAAATAACTAAAAATAAAAATAAAACTCTAAATAAAAATATAGACCAGTGCAGAAGCCTTTAAAAATGGTAAAAAGAGAAAAAAAATAACAGTAGGATGAAACCCATTGGAAAAGGAGGGGAATATAATAAAAATTAAAGGAAAAATAAATTACGGGCGATCTGAGTTCGGGAAGTGAGAGGGGGGGGGTTTAAGGGTAAAAAATGGTTTATCTCGATTTCCGGCAAAACTACAAGTCCTATGGAAAAAAGTTAAATGTCAAAGTTGTAGGTAATAAAAAGATCTACAACTTCTGTATTTACAATTTTTTCACATAACCTCAAAATTTATGTGAAAAAATCAAAAAACCAAGTTTTTGGTTTTTTATTTTTATCTTTTTCAAAAAAAAAATTTTTTCCATGAAATTTGGTGAAAACTTACCTTTTTATGTCCCAAATACACTGTAATTTATTTGATTTGAAATATTTATTATTTCGCCTTATTTTGACTTAATATCAAAAAAGCACCCTAATTTTCAATCGAAAATTCTCGCGTGAAAATATCAGCTTTTTTCAAAAAGTCGTTGTGCTTTTTGTTCGATGAACTCTCTACTTTCTGATGGTGTTCTCAGAAAATACAAAAAATATTATAATGAATAACGTAATCAGAATGAAGTATCTAAATTCAATAGTATGATTTACATGTATTTTTATATTTTATGAGATTTTCTGACATAAATGTTATTAGAATTTAATAAATAAACTTTTTAACTAAAAAAAATTGCAACAATCACATTTTTTTGATGAAATTGTACATAATGATTAAAATAAATTTTCGAATTCGAGTTTTTTTCGTTATTCATTATAATATTTTTTGCATTTTCTGAGAACATTTACCATAGTAATGTATATTTTTTTACACCATCAGAAAGTAGAGATTTCAACAAACAAAAAGCACACCGACTTTTTGAAAAAAGCTGATATTTTGACGCGATTGAAAATTAGGGTGCTTTTCAAAATAAGGCGAAATAATAAATATTTCAAATCAAATAAATTACAGTGTATTTGGGACATAAAAAGGTAAATAAAAAAGTGCACTTTAAAAATATAGTTTTTCTACGACCACTATGTAAGAGTCACATTTCGTAATGACATCGTTGCTTAGAAAATGAATATTTTCATCGGCAAGGCAAAACTCGAATGTAAAGTGACATGTTTGTGTGAAAAGCAATTGACAGCATTGTTTGACATTCAGCTGTCAAACACGTTTTTAGGTTATTTTGTTTTGTATTTGAAAATAATGAAAAATAAAAGGGTCGTAGAAAAAACATTGTGTTTCACTTGTGAGAAAAGCTTTCTTCAAGCAAAATAAATATATGGAATTATTATTAACATAAGTAGAATATACCTAATATTAATTTAATAAGTAAATTTTAAATTAAAACAAACATGGATAGATACATTTAAAACTATAAAATAAAATCTTTTCATGTCTGCCGGTTTTATTTATATGAAATAAATTGTAGGTTAAGTTTTAATTATGTAATATTTAATATTTATAGTATGGCTTTTTGGTCCATAATAAATCAAAACAAAAAGGTACTCTTTCTTCTTCGCAAAATTGCTTCATGCACCACTTTTGCCACCTGTCAGGGGAAGATACAAAAACCTAGACTAGCTGCAGTTCTTTTCATTATAGTAATTTATCAAATATGCTTAAATAAGGATGGTTTCTTATTTTAGTTCAATTGGTTGAAAGCGACGTTGCAATTTCATAACGTATGACTCATAAGTAATCTTATTTTTGGCGACGTTAGTATGGAAGTTATGTGACGCTAAGAAAGTATTTAGTTTTTATATGTATTAAGCAGGACGCCAAGTGGGGACGTTTTTAGACCAGAAGTCAAGTGGTCCTACATATATATATATATATATATATATATATATATATATATATTTACCTGTCAAAGGCCGAAAATCATTACTAGTTTTCACATTTGAAAGCTCTAAGCCAACAATTGTTCTAGAGCAAGTACTTTTCTGCCTTGGCTTCACAGGAGAACTAAACTCTAAAAAAATTAATGAAAATTAAAAAAATAAAATATAAATAAAAATACTTACTCTTTCGTTTAATTAATGGTTCTTCATCTGTTGAAACCGCACTCTCATCGTCAGTTTCACAATTGCTTTCCAGGTTCGACGTTATTTGTCCTTTCTCGCAGTACTCTTTTGCCTTTTGTCGTGATTTAACTTTTATTTTTTTTGGTATAGCTTTATACAGTTTAAATTTAATGTTTTGTAGTGTGTCGCAAGAATCAATTAACTTTTCGAGTAGCAGCCTAGAGCAGTTTTTCGGCCATTTATACTGCCCCTCACCATTTGCCCAGGATGTTGGGACGTAGTCTATCCCATCCTTTTTTTCCTCTTGCCAAACAATAACGTCCCACATTATTGGATAAGCTTAAGCTTATAGAAATTTCTATAGAAAAAAAGTTTCCAACGTATATTATTGTATTTGAAATTTAGGGAAAAATTATAAAAATTTATAATAAAATAAGTCATGCTTTTTAAGGTTACAAGTGTCCATGTAAATATAAAGGAAAAAGGAAACAAGTTGATAAAAAAATAATTTCATAAAAAAATAATTTGATAAAAAAATTATTTGATAAAAAAATAATTTGATTAAAAAATAAGTTGTTAAAAAAATAATTTGATTTCATAAAAAAATAATTTCATAAAAAAATGAGTTGATAAAAAAATAATTTAATAAAGAAATAATTTGATAAAAAAATAATTTCTAAATAATGCATACCTACCTATAAATAATTATTTATAAAGCAAAATAATACTTAAATATATTATATTTGTTCTTAATCTGTAAGTAGGTAGGTATTTTGTTGATGACGGATGAAATATTTCATGTTATAGAAATACTACATAATATTATTAAAGTCATAAAGAATTTTTCTTTGCTATTGCTTGTTTTATCTACACGTTTCCATATCTGTACTTTAGAGGTTAACTGTACTATATACACAGAACAGAAAACTATATAATTAACTGTTGGTAATAAAATAAAATACCATGTCACAAAATAATGGTATAGTAGTAATCCTATAAGTCTATAATTTTCTTGACCCACGGCGAAAAAAGAATTCTTTTTATGTCAAACTTAATATAAAAACGTGTACTTATTGATAATTATTAAAGATTATTCTGCTTACACTAAGAAAACACATCAGCTCTATAAATATCAATGGTAGTTTAAAAAATATAAAGCTACTTACCGTCTATTAAATAAAATTTCAACCAAGTCACACTTTGTTACACCTTTTCTTTGTTTAATACCAGAGACTCTGTTTAATACGCATTAAAAGCATGTGGAAATACAAAGAGCAGCAATGCTGGATGCGGATTGGCTTGATTTGGGGCGCATGATGTGCAGCGCTCAAAACTCATGGTACTCGCGCCAAATATTAATTCTTCGAAAAACAACGTTGATATAATTTTAATAGTATTTTTAAGCAATGTTAAATGTAATTTGAAAATAAATTATCGTTTTAAATCATCTTCCTGACAATTTTCTTGATTAATTAAAAAGAAAAAATATTTTAGGAAAGTTTACGGAGAAATTGAAAGAAAAAAGGTAGCAACCTAGTACTTACGTTTGTTTTTATGATAAGGGGGAGAGGGGAGTTACTTGATATAAAATGTACCCTCCAAATTCTATGAAAAAATCTTTGAGGTATGTTGCATAATCTCATGTTGTTGCTATATTTATATACAGGGTGTTTCATAATATATGCGCAGGACTTCAGGATGTGATAGCTTATCCAAAAAGATGAAAAAAGTCACAAAAGTTAACTTACCCTCTAAAATGCACAATTTTCGAGATACAGGGTGTTGAAATTTTAGAAAAAAAATCGTTTTTTTAGATTATCTCTGGAATCGTTTATCGTACAAAAAACAGCTTTTGTAAGCATTTTCTACTCATAATAAGCTATGTTTTGTGCCAGAAAAAATTTTACTCATAATTGGTGGAGATTTTGAAGGGGTAGCGGGTGTTTTTCTCCTCAACTTCAACGCCCCTGAAAAAAGTACGGTTTTGAGAGGCCCATTCCAACCGCCAATGTTTTCTACAGAAAAAAGGTACTCTTGGTTATAAGCTCTAAAGTTGACCGTTTTCGAGGAAGATCAACTTTTATGTTTAAAAACATGGTCAATTTTTTGAAAAAAAAATTTATTACTAATTAAACAAAATTTATATTAACGTTAGAAAAAGTAACAAAACCAAACGATAATTGCAAAATTTAAAAAAAAATAAAAAATGATTTTTTACTCAAATGCTGAAATGTGCGAAATGCGTTACCTTTACGGTTTGGAGAATTAAGCAAAGACAACTTTTAAATCATTTTTTATTTTGCAATTATGGTTTGGTTTTGTTACTTGTCCTAACGTTAAAATAAATTTTGTTTAATTAGTAAAAAAAATTTTTTTTTTTAAATCGACCATGTTTTTAAACGTAAAAGTTGATTTTTCTCGAAAACGGTCAACTTTAGAGCTTATGACCAGGAGTACCTTTTTTGTGTAGAAAACATTGGCGGTTCGAATCGGCCTCTCAAAACCGTACTTTTTTCAGGGGCGTAGAAGTTGAGGAGAAAAACACCCGCTACCCCTTCAAAATCTCCACCAATTATGAGGAAATAAATTTTTTTTCTAGCACAAAACATGGCTTATTTTGAGTAGAAAATGCTTACAAAAGCTGTTTTTTTTTACGATAAACGGTTCCGGAGATATTCGAAAAAAACGAATTTTTTTCTAAAATTTCAACACCCTGTATCTCGAAAATTGTGCATTTTAGAGCGTAACTTAATAGCGACTTTTTTCATCTTTTTGGATGAGCTATCACATCCTGAAGTCCTGCGCATATATTATGAAACACCCTGTATAAGCATTGGTATAATAATATAATTTATAATAAAAATTGAATAACCATTTTACACCAATATAAGGCCAACATTGTATAAACGTTGGAAATTTTGAATTATCATATAATTCCAACCTTGGACAAACATTGACATTGATATATTGGAAAATCATTTTACGATAATGTAGGGGTACCTAATATTAGATTAACCTTGGGCAACCATTTTCAATGATATATTGGATAATCATTTTACGCCAATATGGGGCCAACATAGCACACACATCGACTATGATATATTGGATAATCATGTTACGCCAATATAGGGCCCACCTTGAATAAATATTTTTAATGATATATTGGCGTAAAATGATATGCCAATATAGGACCAACCTTGGATAAATATTTTTAATTATATATTGGCTTAAAATGATATGCCAATATTGGACCGATCTTGGATAAATATGTTTAATGATATATTGGCGTAAAATGATATGCCAATATAGGACCAACATCGGCTAAATAAATCCAATATTGGTCCCAGATAAAATATTGGGCATATATGCGCCCCATATAGGACCAATATTTTGTGCTACTGGGGTTGGGCATGTATTAAAAATAGTTTTACTTTTTTAATTAGACTAAATATTAGAGAACATTAATTTAAACATTTAAAGTAAAAAAAAAATTAACAAAGAAATTTTAAAATTAACAATATAAGATAATTTTTTTACTAAAAAGTTATTAATAATTGGTAATTAATAATTACTTATTATTAATAATTATTGATTATTATTAACTTTTTAGTAAAACATTTTTATAGATTTTTCGATATTTTTATATTGTTTATTTATTTTATTAATATACATGGCAAGATGGGTATCTATAAAAAGGTCTTGATAATTGCAATTAAAAAAATTATATTATTTACCCCCTCTCTTCCCCCCAGTTTATTAGGTTTCTATATTTCAAAATTAACATGTCAAGATAAATATCTATAAGAAGGTCTCAAAATTTTCAATTAATAAAATAAATAACCCCCTGCCTGCCCCCCTATTAAAAAAATATATATCGCAAAATTAACCTGGCCACATTGGTACTTAAAAAAAGGTCTTAATAATTACAATTTAAAAAATATTATTAATACCCCTACCTACCCCTAATTTTTAAAAATATTGTATTGCAAAATTATCATGGCAAGATGGGTATCTATTAAAAGGTGTTGATAATTGCAATTAAAAAAATATTTTATTTACCCCTCCCTTCCCCCAGTTTATTAAGTTTCTATATTTTAAAATTAACATGTCAAGATAGGTATCTATAAAAAGGTCTTGATAATTGCAATTAAAAAAAATTATGTATATAAATTAACCTGAAAAAAATTGAAAATTAAAAAAAGTCTTAATAATTATAATTTAAAAAATATAATTAATTAACCCCTCCCCCCCTAATTTTTAAATTTTTAATATTACAAAATTAACATGGCCATATGGTTATCAATAAGAGGTGTAAATATTAACAATTTAAAAAATTATAATAATTATCCCCTCCCTGCCCCCAATTAAAAAAATCAATTGCAAAATTAAAAATTTGCTCATAGCAATATGGGTACAGTCAAGTGCATTGAATCAGTACCACCCCAAGGCTTATATTCGCTTGCAGCCATTGCGAGGTGGTGGGGTGAAAATTATTGCCTAAACGTAAACAAACTTATTTGGGTATTTCTTACCTGAACAGGTATAAGATTTATTGTTTCATATTTATTTTGATGAGTTTTGTTATTTTTGTAATAATATTTTTTTTAAATTTTATCAATACGAATAGATATAATACATAATTTAGACTAGATAATATCTATATTATTATATTGTGAATAAGTTTACTGACACTTGTTTAATAAAAATTAGTAGTATTAGTAGTATTTTATGCCAAAAAGCCTGTTTAACTTAAAAAAACTCTAAATTATGTATTATATTTATTGGTATTGATAAAATTTTAAAAAATACCTACATTAAAAAAAATAGTCTAAAAATTCTTAAAACAAAAAAAACTAAAATCAAAAAATAAAATATTTAAAAATAACAAAATAAAAAGTCTTAAAACTCTTAAAACAAAAAAAATACATTAAAAAATAAAAATAAAATCATTTAAATAAATATAAAAAAACTTTTTAAAAAAGTAATAGGTATTGTAACGATACACATTACGACATCTATGAGACGATTTTCCTAACTACCCGACGCCAAGAAAAGAGTTGGACTACCAGAAACCCGCAGTTAGACGGAACTTTAACAGATGGCGCTTGGACAGCTGTTAACCGCATATATTATACATATTATGTTGTCAACACTTGTTGCACACGGCCCGTGTGTAGGATTTATTTCACACGGCCCCAATTGTTTTTCATCAAGTCTGTCATCAGAATTTCGTCTATAAAACCGTTGCATTTTTCAATGGATAATCGTCTGGTGGCTCAATTCCAAATGGTGTTACCAATTGTGAACCCGAAAACCAACCACTAAATC